AAAAAAAAAAAAATACAGGGTCTCACTACACAGAATGGACTTGTAGTGATTCTCCTGTTTTCAGCCTCCCAAGCGCTGGGATTACAGGTGTGTGCCGTCACCCCTCCCAGTCTCAATCACCATCTCAGCATGCTCCGGGGGCGGGACTGGCTTGGCGATCAAACCCCAGTCCCTGTGTCTTGTCTGCTGAGCTATCTGGCCAGCCCTAGACTTTGTCTTTGAAAGAACAAAAGCAGGGCCAGGGAGATACCTCAGTAGATATAAGCGCTTGCCTGGCAAGTGCAAGATCTTGCGCTCAATCCCTGGTACTGGAAAAAAAAAAAAAAAAAAGCAAATAAACAAGAGAAGCTGGGACGGAGGACGCTGTTCAGTGCACTCAAGGCTGCAACCAATAATCTTATCATCACCCCCTTCTCTTTTCTAAGACAGGGCCTCCCTTAGCTGCCCAGGCAAGGGGCAACCTGACCTCATACACTGAGGCCACGTCTGTCACTGGGCTGAGCGCTTTCAGCCCCACAGTTCCTGGCTAAGCCATGACAGGCTGCTTGCTCTGAGTACGCTTCTCATGTTTCTTTTGCCCAGGTAAGATTGGGCCTTGTTGGGGCCAGGGAGATGGCTCAGTAGAATAAGTGCTTCCCTAGCAAGTGCAAGGGTCTGAGTTCAATCCCTCATTCTGCAAAAACAAAAACAAAACAAAACAAAAAAGATTTGGCCTTGTTCATTCTCCGGGGATGAGAGGCTGGACCGGAGTGGATTTTCCATGGGGCAGCCTAGGCCTGGCCTCACCTGAGGGGCCACCAGGTCAGTGACCCTTGAGCAGGGGTCCTGAGTTCCATTACCCAGTGCTCTGCTTCCACACTGTAGTGTCTTCTCTCCTTTCACTAGGCCCCAACTCGAACCTTGCTACCTTTTGTGCTTACTTTGTCCAGTTTTTTGTTTAAGATCGTAAGAACCAAGAACCTAGAAGCCACCTCTAAGGGCAGATGCCGCCCTCAGAACCTGGTAACAGTGCCGGCCCGCCCGTTGTTCCTCCCCCAGGAAGCCTTCCAGGCCCCCCCCCCCGTATTCCCACCATCTGATCCCCTCCCCCAAATGCTACGCCCCTGTCTGACTTCTGAGAAGCTGGGAACAATCCCCTTGTAGTTCAGGCCGTACAGCTACTTTTGGATCTTTACACCCGCTAGTGAGAGACGTGGGAGGCCCCTTTCTGCCCTCCAGGTATAGCTGGGACCCGCTGGAGCTGCAGGGGTGCTGGGGCCTGGCCTTAAGCCCCACTCCCACGGCCCCGCCTGCCACGGGTGTGCAGCATCCTGCTGGCCTGAGAGCCATAGTTTCCTAGATAAAATGAGGTCACTTGAGTCTCACAGCAAGGACATGTGGGAAAATGGACCAACTGGAAGGGTTTTGGCAACAGAGGTATCTATCTTGGGATACCATGTGGCTTTGGCTCATGAGTGAGTAATGTTGAAAGCCACTTCAGGCTCTCTGGGCATTGTTGGTCATGAACATATGAGTGCGTGCGCATGCGCGCACACACACACACCCCTGCAGCCTGACACACAGGATTGGTGACCAGGAGCATGGTGGGGTCGCCTGGGTGGCTGTGGCAGGCTCTGTGCGGTGGCTCTCACGCTCCACACACTCCAAGCATTGGTTCGCAGAAGGATGCTCTGAGTTGGTGGCCGCGACACCCCCGTTTTGTAACTGAGGAAGCTGAGGCCTGAATTACACACCTGGGAGGAGGGAAACTGTGTTGCTATGGCAACTCCCCAGCAGGAGGCTGGGCCACCAATGCGCCCATGTGCCCCAACCCATAAACCAGGAGGAGCCCGAAGTCTAGTTGCTGACCAGATGCCAGGGCCAAGCAGGGGAGTGGGCAAGAGATGGCATGTCCCCCCACTATAAGAGGTCATTCCTCAGCTGGCTATGGTCACATTAGAATGTGACCTACTGTCCCTAGGTTTTAGGACGCTAAAGGGAAGCCTGTACTTGGGTTTGTATTTGAGTCATAGTCTTGCCGAGTCCCCCAGGGCAATGCCACCTCAGCCTCCCAGGTAACTTGGTTCACAGCCACGTGCCAAAAGTAGTTTCTAGAAATACCATTTTGTGGAACACCTCTGAAGGACAGATGTGATCCCTACTTTGCATCCCCAGCTCTGGAACAAAGAAGCAGGACACCCAGAATTATTATACAATTCTGTATTTAGCGACTCATTTACAGAATGTGTTCCTTTTTTTTTTTTTAATTTTAAACAAAGTTCATCAATCTCTCATAGAAACAGTTTTGTGGGTTTTTTTTTTCTTTTTTCTTTTTTTTAAACCGTTGCAGGACGTGAACCAGACAAAGGTGTTCACAGGTCCGGCAGCTTTAAGTACAACAGGATTTCTGTGTTCAAAAGACTAGACTAAGTGCTTGATCAAATCCTGTCACACTAAAGCCAAACTGAGTTCTCGAAGAACTGAAGAACTGGTGTTCCTGTGGAAGCCTGGATTGCAACATGGTGTTGGTTTCCAGAGTACAAAGTGATGTGTCTCCCCCCTGGGTGTCTAACTGCGACAGGACAGTGGTGGCTGCAAGGAGATGTTTTGTGTGTTCCAGACTGGTTTACTCTGAAACTTGGTTACTGTTTCCTATTGTCCCAATATAAAAATACCTTCATCTGGATAAAAATGTCTACAGTGGAAAACTCTTCAATGCATAGCCTGGGTGTAGGGAAAAGGTCATCCTTCAGGGAGTATTGGTTGGTGACTGCCTGGTGTGGCGACGGCAGCCGGGCTGGGTGCATGAGTGGGGATTTCTGCAATGGTCCTCCTCTGTCCCTTGCTGGTCAAGGGGTTCTGCCCGTGAGGGTCCATGTGTTCATGGCATCCGTCTCCCTCTGTCCCTCTCCCCATGACACTGGACTGGCATCATTTATGGTCACCTTTTTACCTTTCTACTGGGGAATCACCCCATTTCACCTTCCCACAGAATTTGAAAAGGAGAAATAAAAACAAAAGGGCCCCAACAACCAGTATGGTAGCTGTCCCATCCAAATGGGGTCCTCTTCCCTTTAGAGGCTGTGACGGAGATGCTAGAAGAAGGGCTCCTTGGAGCTGGGGAGTCTTGAGTCTTTGCCCCAGAAGGCCATGTGCTGGAGAAGGTGGGCACTGTGACAGTGGACATGCTGGATGTGACAGGCTGGGCCTTCCAGACTTTCATGTGGACTTGGAGTGCAAATGCCCTTCCAGAAATACAAGGTCAAGCTGGAGACAGAAGACAGCGAAAAGAAGAGCTGACTCCTCTAGTTTGAGGAGTCTACTTTTTGGTGCTGGTTGTTAGGCTCCAGTGCTTGGGGGGTGAGCAATACGGCTCACGAGGAGAGGTGGCAGCCGCAGCCTTCTCTGGAATGCTCATGTGCATCCCCTGGGGAAACTTGCTCGGGTGGCCTCGGTGCAGCTGGAAAATGAGGTCACTCTGGCTCAAGCATGGCTGACACCCGCCCCACCCCCAGCTCCCAGGGCTTGTCTGCAGACGGGTGGGATGGATGTCTGACCTCCGTGCCCGGTTTTCTGACCCGGGAGGGTGAGCAGTTTGTACTGTGCTGTGCTGTAATCTCCTATGGGTGGCCTGGCCACATCTCCACGACACCGACCTCAGAACAAGCCAGTCTGGGTTATAACGGTTGCAGACAGACCACCAGAACAGAACACATCCTCAACGGCATCGTGGTTTTCTTTAGAGTCTTTTGGACTTTCCAGCACGGTTCCCGGAGGGCAGTAGCACTGTGTCTCACAGACAGGTGTGGGGAAAAACAACTGTGGTTTCAAAGGTTATCTAAATTTGGTCAGTCTTATAGTGTTTTGTGATGGCTTTGAACAATTATCTTCTTTTAATCTCATCTAGTGGCAAAAAAAAAAAAAAAAAGACACAACTTCGGTGTATACTTAGCAACAGTTGTGACAGCATCCTGATTTCATAACGCTCTGTAATATCAAAACAGCATTGGCTGGGAATAAATTCCAAAGGATCCTTTATTAAAATATCTAAAAGAGGTCTATAAATATTTCTTTATTTTTCTAAAAGAGTTAGAGTTTTGGGGGTGAAAATGTGGTGCCATTTTGCTCCTGCCTCTTGCAGAGGGGTGAGGGCGGGAGGAGGGGCAGGATTCCTGGTGCCCCTGGCAGGGGACGCCAGAGGAAGGGGCGATGCCTCCGCCTCACCTGCTCTCTCACAACTTCGTAGCACTAGGATTACAACAAAAAACGTAAACGGCATAACATTGCTGTCCACATTCAGATGGGGAGCTTTGTCCAGGAGAGCGAGTGCCAGGGGGAGGGTGGCCATGGGGTACACCCTGGCCCCCTCACCCCACCTTCAGAACTCCCACTCCAGGGCCTCCTCCCTGTTGGCAGCCCTCTCCAGTCGGTAGATGATACTGTTCAGGTTGGCCATCTTTTCGTGCCGCCGCTGCAGGTTGGGGTTCACCTTGGCACTGGGGTGCAAGGCCCCAGCCGTGTCAGCAGTGGGACTGGCACTCGGCACTTTGGCAGGGGGGGCGCCAGGCAGGGATGGAGAGATGGGGGCTGAGGAAGAGGGGACAGGTGACACAGACATCAGGAGGCCTGGTGAGGATGCTGCGGAGGGTGAGTTCAGGGTGACCTCCAGGCTGCAGCGTGAGGACTCAGAAGCTGACTTAAAACTTAGAGGGTCCGAGTGGAGCCGCTCCCTGGCCTCGCTCTCCTGGGCTGGGTGTAGCGAGGGGCAGTCTGAGGTGGCCCTGCCCGGGAGGGGCCCTACGGCCACTTCGGGGAGCTCTTCAGCACCTGGGGGCCCGGGTTGCTCCTCTTTGGGAGGCCCCTGAGCTCTGTCTGGGCCCCCTAAGTCCCGGGGTGGGCTGCCTCCCTCCTCCTCAGCACCGTCCTCAGCCTGCTCCTGCTTGATCTGTACATGTGCCCTGTCCGGGGCAGCCAGTGTCGTGCCGCCAGCTTCACAGCCCTCCCGAAGCTCCAGTTCCTTCACAGCAGGCTTCTGGTCCTCAGTTTCCGAGTCTGGGCTCTGTGGGGTGGGGTCCGGGTGGGAGTGGCCTGGTGGCAGGACTCCAGGACCCACACTGGGGTCAAGGTCTGGCTCATCCTGGGTTCCTTCCACCAACATCTCCCGGCGCATCCGGGACCTGGGGAAGAGATGGTGGTGAGCTTGGAGCTGGTGGGGTGGGGGTGGGGATTCCCACGAACCCTGGACTGTGTCTGCAGGGGTGACATTCTGACTCTATCCCTGCCTCAAGGTGCTCCCTACCCTGGGCTATGTGTAGAGTGGCTTATAAAAATGTGTTAGCCCTTCAAATCCTTGGGATAACTCTTATGAAAGGGATGCCACCAGGGTCCCTCATGGCCCTGGGTGGGGTTGGGCCCGTGAGGTGCCCACCTGTAGTTGTGGAACCAGTTGATGACCGTGTTGGTTTTGAGGTTGAGCTGGAAGGACAGCAGCTCGATAGTCTGCTGCGAAGGGTAGGGCTCAAGCTGGTAGGCCTTCCGCAGCGCCTCCTTCTCCTCAGGCGCCAGCACCACGCGGGGCTTCTTGATCTGCAGGAGGCTCAGGTCCTGTGGCTGCAGGCCGGGGCTCGGGCACTCAGAGCGTGCGGCTGGCGACTCACTGTCCGAGCCGGTACTGATCAGGCCATAGCGGCGCTTCAGGTAGGCTGTGCCAGGAGGAAGCGAGGCTGGAGGGGGGCGGTCCCGCCCGCACCAGCTCCCAGGGATAGCGGGGTCCGGTGGCTGCGCACCCACAGAGCACGGCGCTCGCGTGGCCAGGGCCACCGGCACCTCTCATTTCCTACACCCTCCCAGCCCCTCTCGCCTGCGGCTCTACTCCGGCCTCTGAAGGCCAGCCTGCACTGCGGGCTTGGCAGGGTACCTCGCTGCAGGAAGTGCTTACAACAAGGGTGGTCTGTGGCATCCTCTTGACTGTCAGAGGTGCCCCTGAGTTTCACAACAGTCTTTGGTGGGGAGCAGGGTGATGGGCATTAAAGGAACCCATTTATTGTACATCTTTACCCCAAATCACCAAAATGTAAAAAAGAAGCACTGTTGTGGCTTGGGTCTGGGCTGTGTTCCAAATGTCCGTGGGACTTTTTATTTTATAGACAGGGTCCTGCTGTTCAGGCTGGCCTTGAACTCACGATCCCCCTGCCTCCATGTCTCCAGTGCTGAGATCACAGGTGTGCATGGCTGTACCCCACCAGAGCCCAGTGCGGGAAAGGCACTCTGGGAGGGGGTGGAGGTCTTAAGCGGGAGGCCTTTGGGGGTGTGCCTTGGGAGGCCCACAGGCCTCTGGTTGCTTCCCTTCCTGTTTGCAGGGTCAGCGCTTCCTATGTTGGGTAGAGTATGGATTATGGCCAAAGGGCTGATAGTACAGCAGAGCTGAGGCAGAGGAGAAAGGAGCACCGCGTGGGTGTTTGGGGAAGTACAAAGATGAGGGTGGCAAAAGACTGGAGCAGCGGCCTGGCATGGTGACACATGCCTGTAATCCCAGCACTCTGCGAGGCCGAAGCAGGAAGATTCAAAGTTCAAGTCAAGCCTGGACAATTAATGACAAAGACCTTGTCACTGGGGAGGCTGAGGCAGGAGGATCATGTGTTTAAAAGGTCACCATGTGCTACATAGTAAGACCCTGTCTCAAAATAAAAAAAGGCTGGGGATGGAGCTCAGTGCAAAGGCCCTGGGTTCAAATTCCCCAGAAGACTGTGGAACAGGCATGAATATACGAAAAGACACGGACAGAGATGGGCTGCTGAGTTTCCGTGGCAGATGTTCCTCGTCTAATTGTGCTCAGTTGCGCTATTCTTGGGGGTCACTAGTTCATGAAGTCTCACACCAGGCCAAGACTGGGTTTATCTGGACCCAACGGGACACGCTGAGGCCAGCCCCGAGTCCAGTGCTGGGCCTGTACCTGTCCAGCTCTTACCTTTCTTCTCCAGCTTCTTCATGTCCCTCAGCTTCTCCACGTTATGTGGGTCACTGAGCCACAGCTGCATGCGGACAAAGGGCTCTCGCCCCTTCAGGCTCAGCTTGTGCCAGGGTTTGGGCCGGGATAGCAGGTCAGACACGGAGCCTTGTGTCAGGCCCAAGATGCTCTCCCCAAACAGCCGCTGCCCTGGGGATGGGGGTGGGGGCAGCCTGTTACACTGGGTGGGGCTGAGAAACCATAGCAATCCTCCTGCCTCAGCCTCCCAAGTGCCAGGATTACAGGCATGTTCCACCATGCCTAGCTTTTTTTTAAACTTTAAGACAGGGTCTCACTATGCAGTTTAGGCTGGTCTTGAACTTGAGGTGATCTTTCTGCCTAGCCTTCTGAGTGTTGGTATTATAGGCATGTGCCACCATGCTGGGTTCTTTGGTATATTTTATATTTTGTCTCTTTAAGACAGGGCATTGCATGCAGTTCAGGATGGCCTTCAGCTCACTTTGTAGTTCAGGCTGGACTCAAACTATCAATCATCCTCCGCCTCCGCTTTCTGAGTGCTGGGATTATAGGCATATGCCACCACTCCTGGCAGTTAGGTACATTTTAAGACAAACAGTGAACATGTCTTGTTTTTGAGACAACGTGCCACTATGTAGCTCAGGCTGGCTTTGAACTCTATGTAAACCAGGCTGGTCTTGAACTCACGTGACCCTGCTGCCTCAGCCTCCTGAGTGCTAAGATTATAGAAGTATGCCACCATCCCCAGTGAACATGTCCTACTTTTATAAAAGAAATTATAGTGAAAAATTGGGGGCTTGTATACAACTGTTTGAGAGAGAGGCCTAATCTGTGTGTCAGAGGACTTTGTGAGAAGAAAAAAAAGCGAGAGGGAGTGAGAGCCCTGCAGCAGATTTCTTTGTGCGTCTCCACAGGACAAGCACGGGGCTTATGAGAATTGCGGGAAGACATGCTGACTGTATCAGACCCGCCTTTTACTCCCATTACAGGGACCGAGGTCAGGGTCAGAGTCGCAGACCTCGCCCAGACCTGTGGATGCCCAGGGCTGCAGCACCACCTGGCTGGACCAGCGGGCACCATGGGGCTCTGAGTCAATCAGGAGGCACTCAGGGGGGGAGGTGGCAGCCCTGACCCCCTGGGCCCATACCTAGGTTGTTGTCCGTGAGGACCTCCTTGACCCTCTTGGTGATGGAGTACGTGTCCAGCTCTGGGGACATGGCCACAATCTCCTGGATGCCAGCTGTGGCCTGGCTGCCCGAGCACATCTTCGCGCCCAGCCCGGAGCCAGCGCGGGCCTCGGGCTGCTGGTTCTCCTTGCTGCTCTCCAGTGACAGGCTCAAAGGCTCCTGGGAGTTCTTCTCGGGCTCCAGGGGGCTGGGGGGTGGCGATGGCGAGGCCTGGGGCTCCATGGGACTGGCTGTGGGCCACACAAAGAGGCAGAGAGTGGTCAGCACCACCTGGCAGGGCCATACACATCAGGCAGCTGGTCAGAGCCACCAGTCGGCACCAACCCATTCTGCTACTGCCTCGGGGACATCCCGGGAAGAGACCATCCGAGGCCGCTCATGCAGGCTCCAAGTGTGTGTCCATGAACTGCGTATTAGCCACGAAGTGGGGATAACGGCCTTCAGTAGAGCTCGTGTGTGGACCATACCTAACATAAGGACACTATCAGGATAACTGTTGAGAGTGGGCCATGTAATGCCACTGAATCACGGCACAGCTCTGGGGTTCTCGGGAAATACAGATGGGGCGCTACATCCTCAGGTTCCGTATCCAGAGATCCAAACAACAACTAATCAAAAATATCTTTTAAAAATATGTCAGCCGGGCATGGTGGTGCATGTCTATAATCCCAGAACTCAGGAGGCTGAGCCAAGAGGATCACCATGAGTTCAAGGCCAGCCTGAACTATATAGCGAGATCGTCTCAAAACAACAATAACGGGCCAGGAGATAGCTCAGCAGAATAAGCGCTTGCCTAGCATGTGCAAGGGCCTGAGTTCTATCCCTGGTTCTACAAAAAAAAGAAAAAAAAAAATCCAAACAAATAACAAAAATTGTGTCCGTGTTGGACAAATAACTTTTTCTTCTCACCATCTCCTGAACAATACAGTACAACTATTCACACAGCATTTACCTGGTGTGAGGCATTCCGAGTCACCTAGAGGTGATTTAAAGCGGCAGGAGGATGTGCCAGATCACAGAAATGCCCGCACACCTGTGCATTGTGGTGTCCCCAGAGCCAGCGCCCTGCAGAGCCCGAAGGAAGGTGCACTTCCTGAGCAATAGGGGTAAAGGGGCGTCATGCGGCCGACCAGTCCCCAAGGGCACCAATGTGCAAAAAGGACCAGGAGGAGAGTGTGGGTGTCATGAAGAGGGAGTCTGTTGTTCTGTTTCAAGCCTTTTGCCAAATGAAGTTAAACAACAAAAGGAAGTTGGTGACAATCTACAAGTTCAACCAACAGAAGTTAAGTAAGTCAAACCTGGCAAAGCCCAGCCCGTCTTGTCCTTTCCCGCTGCAGGTGGCAAAGACAACAAAGGTGTGCTCTTGCGTATGGGTGTCAACTGCTAAAGTCCACACTGGCATCTGGGACTTGGGCTTTTGTCATGTGACTTTCTGTCCGCAATCTGTCTCTCCACCCTCTGTCAATCTGGCTCACTTCTGTGACTCTAAAACATAGTTTTATTCTATGGATTGAGCCCCACTTTACAGGTTGGGAAACTGAGGCTGGGCTCAAGTCCTGGGACTCTAGGTCTTGCCCTTTCTTGCTCTCAGTAGGCAGGTCAGATGGGCTCCCCTGTAGCCACCAGCCTCATCCCAGTGCGGGGCATGGCTGGGCTGCCCAGTAGGGCCCAAAAAGAACTGGACATAGGTCATCAGGGCGGGAGGGAGCTGGCACCCTGTCCTGCCATGCCCCTCCCATTCTGGGACTTTGGCCAGCTTTGTGGGTCTCGGAGTCCTCACCCCTGCAGTCTCCCGCCCCTGCCATCATTAATGAATGGGCAACAGCAGTGCTGAGAAGGATGCTGAGGCCACACGTACAACATACCTTTACACAAAAGAGCTGGGGTTGAGCCCCAAACCTAGGCAAAATATTTTCTCTATCTGCTCTGGACATCCTGGCACCCCTAGAGGCATAAAACAAGAGCTACAAGCACTAGACACAGGAGGAAGAAGCACCCCGCCCCCCGGGGGAGGGAAAGATGAAAAAGAGCCCCCACAGGCAGCAGAACCAGAGCCAGGGCAGCAAGGACAGACAGAGGGACATGTGTAGGACACATGGCTAGACACAGTGCCGGCATCCAACAAGGGGCTCTACATGGCCTGGGGCTGCGGTACTCACCCTGGGAAGCGCTGGGCTGCTGGCCCCCCGCCTGGCCCAGCTGGTCTGAGAGCCACAGCTGCATGCGGATGAAGGGCTCCCGTCCCTTCTGCGTCAGCTTGCTCCATGGCTTCGGCCGGGACAGCATGTCACTCACACTGCCCTGGGACAGGCCCAGCACCTGGGACACGTAGGACAGGCAGGGTACATGGGCGGTCCCTGAGCCTTGGCTTTTAACTGCCCCTCCCAACCCAGGAGCCTGTCTTGTGCTGCGCTGTGTCCCAGTCCCAGGGGCAGCCCCATGCCTTAGAGCCGGCTCAGCCCTCCTTCAGGAAGTCACTCCATCTGCCCTCCGTCCCTTCTCCCTCCTTTGAGCTTCCTGATGCTCTCTCTGGCTGTCCCTCTGCTATGGGCACAAGTGAGCCTTAATAGTAGCTGAACGCTGGGTACGTGGCACCTGCCTATAAGCCTGGTGCTCCGGGAGGCTGAGGCTGGAGGATCACAGTTCAAGCCCAGATGGTACAGAACCCACTGTGGCGGGCGGGGTGGGGGCACGAGTCGCCAGAGCAGGCCCTGCCCCTCACCTTCTCGCCAAAGATGCGCTGGCAGATGCCGTTCTTGGCCAGCTTCTCCTTGACCTGGCGCGTGAGCTCCAGCGTGTCCACCTCGCGGTACAT